GTCTCACCGATGCGTCCTCCGGATTCTCTGCTCCACATCATGGCCACTTTCGGCACTCCTCCAGACTTCATCCTCTGTTTTATGCTTTCTGAAAATTAAAAATAAAGATAGCATGAGACCCTGATGAAATTTCCCGGAAGCAAGAGATAATTACACTCACAAAGCATCCACGTTCTGATTCGCCCTCCGTTGGATAGCCTGCGGATCTGAGAAATCTGACTCAGACTCTTTTCCACTCATCACATTCCTACTCGCTCTATTCTGATAAAAATGGTGATGTCTGTTGCTGACCCCGGATCGCGTTGATTTCTCACTTTCGTTGTCGGAGTTATGTCTACTGGAATGGTGATGGTGCCTATATTTAGGAACAAAAAGGACTCAACAGATATTTCCCTCATATCCAGAGTCTGAAAAAAATTCAAACCTTTTGCGACAACGCCTGGAACTGTCGTTGCTGGTGATGCTGTCCACGCTGGAACTCCTACCCAATGTTTGCTCACTTTTGTGTAAGCGTCTGCGACTGACTTCTGCTGACCTGATCGATCTTGGACTCTGATTGGAAAACAGACCCCTTTGAGAGTTCCACCTAGTCCCTGGCCGACTGCTTTGAGGAGAATCTGGCAAAATCACACTGGAATCCACAAAAATGACATGATTACCACTTTACAAGCTCCAAACTTGACCGTCCGAAACTCAGCTAACCTGTTGGCTTTTGGCTTCGGTACAGAAAGAAAAATTCTCGGGAGAGTGGAAGAAGATCCAGTCGACCCATTCAAGGATCTGAGGTTCTCCTTGTTATCACAAGCCAATTCACTGTCAGAAAACGATGGGTCTGGGGAAGAGAAAGCTATGATATTCCAAAAACAAAAGTTTACATTCTCGTAACTCACTCCCTGATGCAATTCGACGCTGTTTCAAATAATTCTGCCGCTTGCTGACCCTCCTGGGGAAATCTGGAGGCGGCGTCCTGGCGTTTCGTTTAGCATCCTCCATGGCTTCTTTCTGCGTTCTACCACTGAAATCATTGCAACAACAAAATTTGTAGGACACTGCACACTCGCACGATCCAAAAAAAGATTCACGAACCTGTAACGAAATTTCGAGACGAAAGAGAAAGCCTTCGTGGTTAGTTTCGGCGTGGCTGGAGGTTTGTTTCCCAGGCCCGTTGCAGGCCCTCCCCCGGTGAGTCGGAAGAAAGCATGGTGCTCCACACAACACCTCCACAAATGCTTGCAAGCTTGTCTCGTGGGCAACTCAAACCCGAACGTTCGTTCTTGCGAAGCACCATCTTTCACTCTCAGCATGAAATATCGGCGTTGAAAGTAGACTTTTGAAATCCTGGGCCAAAAATAGTAGCCAACTTTGGACTTGTTCTTCAACACCAGGACTCCGCTCGGCGTCAGGCCCAGGAAATACTCAATATTTCCTTCTCCCTAACATAACATCAGGGGCAATAATAAAAAATGAGAAAGGGTCTCGCACTAAAATGAGTTAGTCACATCAAACATTACGTCATCGACAGGGTGAACCAGAAAAATGTGTTCCAAATGGAAACGCTTCAAAAATCACAATGCTAAAAAAAACTACGTTAAAAGCCACACCAACATTCCATTCAATTGCTTTTGAAATTTATTAGTTTCATCCTTTTGTCTGTAACAGTACGGTTGTTCGCATCAAAATTCAGAGAAAATCGACCTCTGAAAAAGTAGAGGGCAAATTTCATTCAACTCTGAATTCAAAAAAAGGCAAATAAGTTGAAAGAATTCTCTCATCCAATTCAAAACGGAGAACGACTCCGAGAAACAGGAAACGTGCTCAAAGAAATTCCGATAATTCAAATGATCTCGGATTCTTGATTATGCAAAAAGGAAATCGGTAATCCTTGAAACAGCTAGGTACATCGATAATCTGAAGCCAACGTCGACTACGCTAGGGAAGACTCGCTATAGCTTGGAGGATGACGAAATACCAGACAAGCACAGAGAAAAAGGAAGCACATTTCATTGAACCGAACATTTCGAAACCATGTAGCAAAAATCTCGTGCAAACACGCTGTCCTAGCCTGCACATGATTCTCCAAAACAAAATGAGGAACACGCGTCACCCTCGTTCACAATCGCATTCCGAATCTGAAGAATGCCACCTCCCCGGGATCGACTAATTGGCTATGTAGTTCAGCTGATCGTTCAGCAGAAAACTCACCATGACGTGGTGCAAGTCAACACCATACAAGTCCAGCCATTTAATCTTCTCCAGAAACTTCATTTCCGCAACAGCAGGAACTTGACCCCTGAAATAAAGGCCCTCAAATTCATACGAATTCTCGATACATTTCGCAAAACGAACATTTTTTTGAGTGTCTTCAGGAGATACATTGAGCCGCTAAAAGAGGAGGTTAAGCCGTCAGACTGAGCCTTTGTCAGAGTTAAGGCTTTGTATCGGCCGGACTACAGAAAAGCCCAGTATTAGCGGGTGCTCAGCTGAAAAGATAAGCGATAAGTCGTGGTACTTTACTTTATGCCAATAATTTGTAAAAAAAAAATATATAATATATATAACGATAATCTCAGATCAAAAATTCAAAAGCAAGTATAGAGGCTGAGCATCGCACACAAAAAAAATTGGAAAAAAAGTCGGACAGCGAGTCCCCGCATAACAAAAAATTCGTATGACGAAATTTTGCGGGAGGAACTGACTCACATAACAACTGCTGTGGGGCTAAAAAACATTCGAATTGTCGCAACTCTTGGGCGGCTCAAACTTGGTCGTTTTTCGAAAATCCGGGAAATTTTGAAGAGAAAGGCATTGCTTCGCCTCTTCTCATCTTCAAAATTAGTGAATTTTAGATCCACGTGCATCACAAACTTGCAAGAATTAATTAAATGTAATACTGTACCAATTAATTCTAAATTCCCAAGTGTACGCTGGAAACGAGGAAAAAGAATACGTTTCACAGCCTTTATCGTTCTGGTGAGTGTCTGGAACTAATAAAATAATTGCTCATAATGTTTGATGGAGAAATGCGTTTGGAATTGAAAAAAATTCCGCATAACGAAACTACTCCAGCAGTAACGGACTATAGTTTCGTTAGGTCGGGACGTAGCAAATGTCCGAATTGGAGCGAAGTATACTGTCCAATTTTACGAAGCACATTCAACATGACATAATACAGTGTAATACATTCATATCTCTCTTAATGAATCTGAAAATTAGACGAGTGCATCTGCAAAAGTGAAACTAAAAACAAAACTCAATTATAATAATTGCGCATATTTTGATTGCGCATATTACATAATACAGTATGTAATGCGCATATTTTGATTGCGGGAAGCTCAATCGGGAAGGTTACACAGGATCAAGAAAACAGAAGGGCAAGCATTAAAAAACGCAAATCTCACTAGTTCAGATTCTACAATTGATAATTGATCTCTTGTGCTGCTGATATTTCGTCCAATATGGAAGTATGAAGCATAAATGAGGTTAAGACTCTTTTTGTGGTTTCCCAGAAATCCAGACACAGCTTTTCAAGTCCTTACCAAATCGATCATGACTGTCGGAAAGTGAAATATAGCTTCATACTTTCAGGAAATTATTTTGGACCTTCAGAATAAGTTGACTATATTTCCATTAGTCGGGGAATTCCGTAAGAATAAAAAAAATTGATCATGAGCTAAGACTCACATCCAGCAAGTGTTGCTATACTATATACAATAATCATAATTTTTTCAACACTAAGAGTGCGATATACAGTACATATAAGTATATGTAACATTATATATAAAGAGCCTGAATTTATTTCGTCACAATTGTTTCCCAAATTTCAACACTTGAATATAATGAGTAGATTTGGTACACATTTTTCTAGAAAAACATTGATGCTTCCAGAAAAACTGTTAAAAGAAACATTCTCCGGTATTCAAGAAATGCTCTCTTTTCTGGTCGGTACATCTTTGCACAATGAAAGGCACAAAATTATCGAACACAATATTGGCATTTCCAGGTTCTGCCTTGTCCTTTTTCCATACTTTGGGAACGTCTGCAACTATTGTGACGGCAAACTTATTCATCTAAACTAAGTAAAACGGTTTACTTGGAATGAACATCAAAAGGGGCAAATGAATACAGAAGCACTCCGGCGGCAGCTTCAACGATGATGAGGAACCACACGGCACAAGATTTTCGGGTGAACAAGTCGAAAAACGGAATTTTCAAGTTGAAAACGCAATTCCCGAGTGATCCATCAAACTACTGCTGGCTCAAACAGGAAAACTCCCGAATTTTGCGGGAACACGAAACATCCGGAGAACATTCGGAAAGTAGAGCACAATAAATAAAATAAAAAACTCACATTGCACGGCATAGCTCCCCAATTCAGCAGCCAAGTCAAAGGTCACCGGAAGTCTCCCCTGAAGAATATCCTTCTTCACTTGCAAGAAAAAATGGTACCTAAAGAAACCAAAGGCCATGAGAACCACCTTTCCCCTTTCCCTCAACCCTCGATTGCCCCTAACCTTGTTATTTCCTCCACAAGTTTACAAGGATCTGCGGCATAAAACTTCACTCCGAAATAAAGCGTACACGGGCCCGGAGATCCTGAAGAAAGGCGATCAAAATAAGTGAGAAATTTCGTTCCATCCCTGATTAAAATCACATATATACCTTTGATTCTCTTTGAAACCTTCTTTGTCGCGTCTAGCCAATGCTGCAAAAAAAGTAATACTGTATGTATGCACATTCTGTTTACAGTAAGCATAAATAAATAATGACGAAAGAAACTTTTTCGTAAGCAAACATGTCGTAGTTTGCATGACAAAATTTAATTCAATAACTGGAATGCAGGATACAATAATATGATTTCAAAAATGCATTCTTGGATAGAAATGGAAATGCCTGCCTCCCAGTCCCCAAATAAGAGTAATATTGTGCTTTTCAACTGCTGTTGTAGATTTCATCCTAAAGAGAGTGCTTTTCTTTTGCATGCTTCCTCGCATTTCTGGGATTGGTGCTGTGAACAGCGACCACGTGCATTGAAATCTTCTCCTGAGTCATCTAGAAAATCAGTTACTGATTTTGCCAAGTTTTCCCTATACAGTATTTCCAGGATAATTAACACATAACTTTCCAGAAACAAATCATTGCAGCTCAATCATAAAGGCAGTGCTGCTGAACTCAGATTTGACCAAGGGCAACATTTATACAATTTTCGTGGACAGCAAGGGCCAAATATTGCAAAGGTAGAGAGCCTTTGTGGGCGAAAATTGACAATTTTCGAAGTTCCAAAATTTTTCCCTTTCAATTGGAAAGTTCAAAATTCAATTTGGAGTCATGCATTGAATCACAAGCATAGCCTTACATAATGTTTGAAGGACGGAGCAACATTCTGAATCTTTAAATTCATCTTTCAAATGTATTAAACTTATCACCATCGGTGGTAGAACTCTTATTGTCATTTCCCGGTATATCCTGCCTCCTTTTCAGAGACACCCAGTCTAGACCGGACACCCGTCGTAAATAGTTTCCCTACTGGGTAATTTTGAAAATTCTAATTGTATTTGGATACCATGAACTAACCAACTTCTTATCATTGCATTCTATGAGAAAAAATGAATTTGGCTAACGAACTCTAACAAAGGTCGACTGTACATATCATATAGTACTACAAACATTTCCTGACACAAGAATATGGGAAAAGGTGCTTTGCATGTTACAACTGCGCAATGAATTACTCACTACCATAACTTACAGCAAGATGACTTAACCTAAAACCACCCTCATCCCGAAAACAAAATTAGGCAAACATACAGTACTTTTGTATCAAAATATGATATATGAAAAAAATGTGCCGTAAAATTACTCACTACCATAACTTACAGCAAGATGACTTAACCTAAAACCACGCTCATCCCGAAAACAAAATTAGGCAAACATACAGTACTTTTGTATCAAAATATGATATATGAAAAAAATGTGCCGTACTGCTACCATACTAATGCAGTAACATTTTTTTAAAACAAACACCCATTACAACAAATTTTTCCAGCATAAAAAACTTGTTCTCGAGTCCTTGCAGAAATCCCATAGATTACATGCTAAAATTAAAAGTAATCTCATCATAACAAACTTCCTAAATTCAGTATTATACCCGCATTTTGAGGAATGTTCAATATATTCTCGTCCATCTTTATAACTGTCAGACTTTAAAGGTGAGGGTTTACAGTGACTGACTAAGAATGTATCGTACCTACCTTCGACATTTGTTACTGTACGGTTGTAGGAGCTTCTTAGTTATATAACCACGTTTTGATGGAATGCATGACTGTTCATCAAAGCTAATTTTTTCTCCAGAAGACCATTCAGTTTTGTAAACAAACAAAAATCTGAGAATAATACCAGATAATCAAGATCTAATTGTTTATAGGCAGGTCTGATGTGAACATTTTTCCAGTCATTAATTTTGAAAATATCATTACACAAAAGTATTCCATATTATAGAACAAACTTGTTTTGCTGTCCCCAAAAGTTTGTTGAAACGAGATTTCACTCTAGACGGGGAAGCTCGAAAGAACAATGAACGAAAATAATTAATTATAATGTTGTGAGTGACAGACTGGTCAAGCCAGATTTATAGAGTCGGGCTTCATGCCTCAGAGCTCCTCCAAGTCCGCAAATTTGTGAACCAGGTTGTGGAGAGGCGGGAAGTATAGGGTCTGCATGAGAATCAAGAAATTTCAGCCTCAAATCCGATTTTCAAAACAGAACAAACAAAAAAAGAAACCCAAAGCTTACAGAGATTTCATGCACGATTTCCGTGTCGTCGAGGAGCATGATCTTGACGAGGAACAAATTGCCGCCACGTTTGTCGGCGGGTTGCGGCGCATGATCGCCGCCAAATATCCGGAGCCACTTCATGGCAGCATCGATTCCCGAAGCCCCACAACACCTCAAACATACACATACACACACACACACACACAATCTCTCAAAGGAGCCACGGGCACATAACCCTCAATGAACGAGACTTGGCCTCGGGTTGTCGGCCGACTGGCTCGCTCAACACACACAGCGCACTTATTAAAGCAACTAAGCCTCGGCCCGCGCACACCGGCCGTTTACTGTACGGGAAAATCTGCAAAACGAACCACACAGTACAAATCATTATAGCGACTACCCGACTCGACATCATGCGCAAATCATAACACTGATGGTCGCACAAGCCTATGCAAAAAAGGTGTGCAACCCGTGGTCCGCGGAAAATTTTCTCCAGCGTGATAAATTCATCAAATGTAGAATATAATGAAGTTTGTTATCTTCAACTGAAATTTTGGCAAGATCTGATGAAAAATAAAGGTTGGCTTTTTAACACTTCAGACAAATTTTCACCTGGGAGTAATGAATTTTTTCGAATTTTCATTCTGAGAAACTTTTCTTGAAGCCCGGCGTTTCAACTTCCAGAAGACATTCCACTAAAGCTGCTTTATTGGTTCTTACCTTGATTTTTGCCACGGAAGTTTCATTCTTTATGGCAGTTATTAAAAAAAAAATTCTGCTAGTCCGCAATAATATCATGGAACTTCGCCAGTTGGCGAAAGAATTTCGTGAAAATTTGATGGTCCGCGGGTCCAAAAAAAAAAAAGGTTGGAGAACACTGCTACAGCTACAGCATTTGCGTAACCACCGAATGCTCGAAATTTCTGCGACCCTTGAATAGGAAACCTCTCTGCTGCAGGCTGATGGGAAAAAGGGAAGCTGGTTCACAGGAGGAAGAAGCACGCGAACACTGAGTCACCATCGTAACGAAGAACACTTTTACTCGAAATTTCTGCGACCCTTGAATAGGAAACCTCTCTGCTGCAGGCTGATGGGAAAAAGGGAAGCTGGTTCACAGGAGGAAGAAGCACGCGAACACTGAGTCGCCATCGTAACGAAGAACACTTTTCGTTCCGGTTTCATCCGCAAATGGGTGACTGTCACGGGAGGCCTTGGACCCTGAAATCAAGTCATGGTTCCCCAAGCGTCTCCTGCGGAAACATTCCCCGTATCCTCAGTAGTGTCAATGCCACAGTCTGTTGATCAGTGATTTTTTTTAAACGAACAATGAGTCAGCAAAGCTAAAAAATAATAATAAAAGAATTCGCATCACAGACATATAAGAGGAACTCAGTGCAAGACTGACACAATGGACTCACCCTATAAAGAAATTCAAGGCACCAAAATATTCGTTGTAAAGAGAATTTAATTTTAGAGGACCACTAAAATATGGGAAAGAATCCTAGGGAACTAAAACAAAATTCATTGTAAAGAGAAATTTGTAATAAAAAAAGACCATGGTAGAGAGATTCCACCTGTAATTGAAAAAAACAGGCTTTTAAACTCCATGCTTCATTTCATTGTTATCCTGTGTCAACTGAGACTGATGCTTTCTGAAATACAGTACTGTATTTACTTGAGTACCACATGCACGAATTTTTCGAAATCAAGCGGAAAAAGAGGATGCCCGTTATTAGAATCTCCTGTGGTGTCAAAGCCCCCTTCAAATTCTAAAAGAATAGTGAAAAAGTTTTGTGAAAAGGGGCAACTCCACCCTCCCTCTCACTTTCTTGTTGTTCACAACCTCGTCCCTCTCCTTTGTCCACACTGCATACGTACTCCCTTGCCCCTCCCCCCTCACTGAAGGGGGGGAGGAACCTTTTGCGGAGGGGGCAAGGGTGTTATAAAACATGGGTTAAATGAAGGTTGGGCGGTTTTTTTGTTTTGTTTGTGATTTCCTGCCCTGAACCTGCCCCATGCTGGCGGGGCTTTCCTCATCTCATTCTCCGGGTCTTTGAACTTTTCCTCCCTCAGTGTTTCCGATTTGTTTAATTCCGTTCTTAATTTTCATCCCGTCACGGTTCATGGGAAACGTGTGGATTAATAGCTTAGGGATTCCCAATGATGTTACCAGTATAACAGTGTATTTCCTCTCCTGATGTGCCGTGAAGAAATATGAAGAAATGACAACGGCGTTTTTCTTAAATTGGTAATGCTGGGGAGGATGAGGGGGGGGGGGTTGTTGTTGTTGGAAAGAGCGAAGTTTGAAGTTTTCTTTCTGGGGATAATGGTTTTAACGTCAATAAAATTATACGATGAAGAAAATTCGTTGAGTTTTAGCTCTTGAAGAATGCGCATTGGGTTTTTGGAATATACGTTTGCTTGAGTTCATTGATTTATTAAAGTCTTAAACACACCCTCCTTAGGAACTCGTTTTGCGGCGGGCTTTTACATTTTCGGACAGTAATAACTTAATTACTTCCCTTTGGAACTACTAAAATACTCAAAGTAAAACTTTGAAGGGAATACCATGGCTATAATGGTTGTCAAACACCTTTTTCACTGTAAAATGACGAGCATTTTACAGCAATATTTCCCGCATGAACAAAGGTTCGCACAGAACAAAAAAGTTGACCTCGCACAAATCTTTAGGGGGAAAAGTGACTCATAACAAAATTGTTGCACATAACAGAATTTTGAACCAAAAAGCTTGAATTTCATCACATTTCAATTTAAATTTCAAAATGTATTAAAATAATTGAAGCAAATCAGAAAAGAATGGCTTAGTTTTGTACCTTTGTGCATTTAGAATTTGTGAAATTGAGAAAGTTAAAAGGTAGAGTTGTTAGGATTACTTCAAGATCAATATCCAATTCACAATTTCGGCTGAAAAATACAAACATTCCTGTCTTTATTATGGCCTTTTGGTAAATGTTTGGAAAAATAAAAATAATGCAATTTTAAGGAAAAATGCGTTTCACATTTAAAAAAAAAACTGCACAACAAAACTCATCCAGGAATGCATTTCTTGGGACACGCTGTATTATGTAATGCCATGACGTAAGACAAATGATTTACTGTATCTTGGTGCGTCAGAATTTCACAGTAGCAATGTCAGTCCCAGTTTTCTATGCGTTAACATATTTTCTAGGCACACCATCAAATTTGTGGCTCGCTGGATCATGGATCAAGTTATTTTGAGGTACGGGTACAGCATTTCCTTTATTTTTTTTTAGAATGAACTCATTTTGTTCCTTCAGTGTAGCCATGATGTTATTTTAGGCTCATTATAAAAAAATCCTTATCATGACGTTTTTCTAGGTCCCAATAGAAACACAGTCTTACAGCGTTTTAAATCGGGGTTCGTCTTGTGTTGAACGAATTTGTGCGAAGGCTGGTATAGGCCTGCCTTCCAAAATTGAAAATCAACAACAAAACGGAGGTACCCAGAGGTGTGGTGTCTCATTTTTGCGATCCAGGAAGGGAACCCGCCCTCCTTGGTAAACCTGATGGGAGAGAGTGGAACTGTTTTTTCCCTCCCTTCACTTTACTCACTGTACTGTATTTGCCCAGACAAGCACAAACATTGTAAAAAAAATACACATTGTATACAGGGTAGTCAAATAGAAAGCCTATATACAAGCCATCACATAAGTCTGAAGTTTTTGTTTTGTTTAGTAAACCTTTCAGATGTGAATACTGTAGTGTACAGTCAACCCCTTTTAATGAATCATACTTCAAGGGATCAGCAAAAAAATTTCGAGTTGGGGAGGTTTCCAGTCAGAAGAACAAGCATTTTTGTTGGGTAAAAGAAGAATCACAGGAAATTGTGATTAGTGATATACTGGGCATTGAATTAGCTTTTTAATTGAGTTGACAGGATGCTGAGCTTTGATTCCCCCAATTGGTCTTTCACTTTCTTTGAAAATACTTCCCTAAGAAGAATCACAGGAAATTGTGATTAGTGATATACTGGGCATTGAATTAGCTTTTTAATTGAGTTGACAGGATGCTGAGCTTTGATTCCCCCAATTGGTCTTTCACTTTCTTTGAAAATACTTCCCTCCACATTTATGTCTTTTCTCTTTTCCTGTATGCGTCAACAAAATAAGAGTGAAAAGGCCTTCCAAAAATTCAAGTTGTGGATGTTAGGGATCCACAACTTCACCATGTATAAATTATTTGTAGACCCTGTTGGAATTTCCCCAAGAACTATGCACAGGTGGGCTCTCAAAAAAAGTATCTATAACTTTTTTTTGTCCCATAGGGTTCTCTTTCAAATTTTATAGGGGTTCTTTCAGTTTGCAACAATTTTTTTGTTTCTCCCGCTGTGTTCTCTTCCAATGTTATAGGGGTTCTCTAAGTCTAAAAAAAAAATTTTCTGGTCTATTGAATTTAATTTGAGAGAGAATTTGCCTGTAATCAACCTCTCTTACTGCATGGAACTCTTTTCCATTCAAACCTCTACAACTATGTACAATTTTTGCTGGAGAACTTTGGGACATTTATTCTGGAAACTTGAGCAAAGAGAAAAGCAATACTGTATAAATGTGACTTCAGGCTTTAAAATAGAAGTGAGTCAATAATTGATGGGTAAATTAACCCATGCCTCTAACTTCAGCATCCTTTCAACTCACTATAATTCTATGCCCAAAAGATCACCAATTTTAAGTCCATGCAGTAAATATTTCTTATGAATCCAGCAAAAATGGCCGTTTCCTCAACTCTGAATTCTCTGCCAACTTCATTTTGTTGGTCCCTTGAAGTTTGACTTCAAGAGGTTCAACTATTATTTGTTTTGGGTTTTCTCACAGCTGTAAAATGCATGCATAGAGACAGAGGTCATTCAAAGAAAAAAAGTTCATGTAGCAATCTTGGTGGGTTAGTTGGGTTTTCAAGATATGGCTTTCCAGTCACATTAGAATGAGCTGCAAATGGGCAGAAAAATAAATGAAACTTGAGGCAAATTCTCAACAAACAAAAAAGGCAGCAGCATGAAGAATCAGCATGCGCTGCTGGTGAAGAAATTTCACCAGTTCAACAATGGAGAGAACAAAAAAATGGCTGGAGATTTGAATTATTGGCTGGACATAGATGTGGTGCAGAAATTTTGAATACAGCATGCGTTATTTGTCAAATTGGTGCACAGTGTTGACGTGACTAACTGCAAAAAATTAATTCTAACCAGATTTAAAGAAGATTGTAACTATATGAGCTTTGGTGCCTTAAATAATTTATTTGAGGAGTTTTAATTAAAAAACCCTGCGCTTATTTGCACTAGTTGATAAGCTGCAAATACGGCTGATGTTGTATGATACAAAAACATACTATATCTTCTGAAAGGTGAGTTGTTCCCTCTGATTACAATTTGGGATA